CTATTAGCTTAGGAATGCAACTGTACTGGATATTTCGCCATGACAGCCAAGACACATGCTTTGGTATTTTGCTCATCTCTTGTTTCATCGTCGTGTTCCTTCTACACTTTTGATTACATATTGTTCGTTATAATTTTGCCACGACGAATTTAGGGCGACTAGTATATGGTGAAAAAAGTTCGTTAAATTTGTATGGCAAAGCTTTTTGCCTAGCGAGCTTTTGTGTAATCATCACCATTTTTGCTTATGCAGTTTCGTTTCTCTTTTTTTTTCTGTGAGGAAAAAGAATTTGATTTGTTGATTTATTACTCTTTTTGCATTGTTCTGTCATGATGCATGTTATGGGTATTATTTCTGCAACAACGTGGTACATTCGCTTATGCATTCATTGGCTCATTGCTAACAACCCATTTCACTGTTAACTCAGTGATAATTATACTTCCAATATTTATAGAAGCGGTGCTTTTACAGTTACAGAATAATTGGCCAACGCACGGGCTGCCCGTGCGAAGATGCGTTTTTTGCATAGTTCCCCGCAGTTTTTGTCGCTACCGGCATTGGCTTTTTCGGCAAATCCTTCTAGCTAAACAAATTAAGACTGGCCGCCAAAACTGGCAGGAAATACCCCCTTAAAATTTCAGCCCTCTAGCTTTCTTAGCTCCCGAGTTAGCAATTTATTGGAAAAAATTTTTCACGAGCCCGCACTCGGGTACCACGTATACCCGATGTCTGGATTTGAGCTCGTTGAGACTTACTTGGACAGGGAACATCCTTCTAAAACTACAGTCTTTTAGCTTTACAGGTTCTCCAGTTATGAGCTTACGCGAGGAAAAACTTCGGTGAACCCGTGCGTAGGTACCATGCATAGCCGTGGGCTGGGTTTGATCTCGTTGAGACTAATGTGGACGAGAAACACCCTCTTAATGTTGCAGTCTTCTAGCATCTCAGACTCCCAAGTCATGAATTTACACGGGGAAATTTTGGCGGGCCCATACGCGGGTACAACGCTTACCTGGGGGTTGGGTTTAAGCTCATTAGTACCCATTTGGACGGGGAACATACCCTTAAAATTTCAGCTTTCTAGCTTCCCTGGTTCGCGAGTTATGAATTTACGCGGGAGAAATTTTAGCGGGCTCATACGCGGGTACCACGCTTACCCGGGGGTTGGGTTTGAGCCCGTTAGTATATATTTGGACGGGGAACATCCCCTTAAAATTTCAGCTTTCCAGCTTTCCTGGTTTGCGAGTTATCAACTTACCCCAAAAAAATTTTGGCGGGCTCTTACGCGGGTGTCACACGGGTGGGACCGCCCATTTTGCTGAGGGGGCCTGTACGCGCATGTAGATCATGTCGCCAAAGTTCCAGGCCCGTAGCTTTCGCCGGTCTCGAGATGAAAAATCGGTACAGACGAACACACAGACATACACACACAGACAACCTCTCGTCAATATGCGTTTTCTGCATTGCATAGCTGCAAAAAATGCATGAAAACGGTAAGTGCGCTCATTCTAAAAAAGGTCGTGAACGCCTCCTGTCCATAGCCCTTCTGCTTGAAATGCTCGCCTTATTGGTGTAAGGAACTTTTGGAAATAGCAGCGCGTACCAGACTAGCCGATGCGATCATGCGTTTTTTGCAATTCCGCCCACCGAACGATCGCCTATTAATGATTTTCACTACTTTGTAATTTGGAGATGAATATCCTTCCGTGATTCCCGAGATAATAGTTTACCCGTCAAAATTTTTATGAGGCTGTAAGTGATACTCGAGAGCACGGGTGCGCTGAATTTGAATTTGCAAAATCTTCCGTGGGCAGGGGGTCATTATCTTAAAATTTCAACTTCACAGACTTTGTGCTTCCCGAGATAATAGTTTACCCGTCAAAAATTTTCACGGGGCTATGCATGTTAACCGCGGGCAGGGGAAAACTGAATTTAATTTTTTTGGGTAGCGCATAGGCGGAGGGCGTGCCTACAAAATTTCAGCTTTCTAGCTCCCAATTTTCCCCGCCCTAACTTTTATGGGGCCATACGTGTTACCCGCGGGTATGGGGAGGCGGAATTTAAGTTTGCGGAGTCGCACGTGAGTGGAGAAGGTTTCCGTAAAGTTTCAGCTTCCAAGCTTTTGTGGTTCCCGAGTTGAAAGTTGTGGACAAGTTGCTGCAGACACACACACACACACAAACACACACACATATACATACACGCATACAGACAACCCCCTGACAATATGCGTTTTGCACTGCTGTTACACAGCACAAAACGCACAAAAATGCAAAAGTTGAGTCAGTGTGCACGAAACTTCTGGTTCGTGAAGCACAGAGGCTGGTCATGTGAATGAGGGTGCGGGGTTTTGTTAAACTGGGTAAAGGTATTCACCAAAAGCCAGCTAGAAAGCGTCATCATTGAACATTTCGGCTGTATTCGTCAAATTTAGCTTAATTTCCCCCAAAAAATTGCTTTATTTGAACAAATCGAGGCCTGTTCGATAGGAAGAGACGTCAAATCAGCTGCTGGTCAGGTGAGCCGCTTCTTGAAAATACCGTTAATAGTGATATATTTTTTTCAGACTAATCCCGCAACGATGTTAACTTAATGGAAACACTACTCGCTTATCGGCGGCGTCCCTGGCCGAGCAGTGTTACCAGCTGTACAGTACTAGCAATCCTTACAGTCGCTTTTTCCTTCACTCTTTTCTTCACATACAGGTATTTACATCAACTTTAATTCATAGTATGGTTCTCCAACTATGCAACTGGTAATTTTGCTAGATGCTTTTAATGTAATTTTAATTTTAATAATTTTAGATGATGTGTATTTATGTAAAAAGTGAGGTTTAAAAAGGAATAAAAGGAGGGTGAATAAGATAAATCGGATTAAAAAACCTGAATAGGAATGTTTCGGTCCTTTAAGTCGCATACATTCCTGTACAGTGCTCGTATACATTCCTTTTTAATGTCCCGTCGCCTGGTGGTCGACCTGCTGACAAACCTGATCTTAGTTTCATTTCCTTAAGGCATTACGAGCTCAGCAGTTCTAACAAAAATGCTTGGCAAGACTTCAGTCACTTCGAGATGTCATTGGTGTATGTCCTTGATCGTTGCCCGTGAGGCAATCTATCATGCAGGTTGTCCTTGTTACTTGTACGATAACCTGCCTCACTGATCAGTGGGTTAAGCTCTCCCTATACCAGAGGTAGAGGTGAAGGAATTTGTCCAAGTAACGGGCCTCTCACAGCATACATTTTATACGGCTTGGCACCATGGGCATCTGAGCAAACTTTACCTGAATTTTGAATTTCTTGTTTTGGCAGCACTAAATTGGGCTTATGCAACTGACTGGCTAATTCGCCATCGTTTTTTTGCTTCTCGCTGCGCAGCTTTTACAATAAAGTAATTCAGTTAATTCACTGTCAAAGCAAAGACACTTAAAGCACTTTAGTGTGCAGACTTGTATTTCACTCTCTGATAGCACAGCAACGGTACTTGTCCGTAAACCGTAAAAAATATAAGGTTTTTAATGGCAGCATCATCAAACAAAGAGATTTTTGTGGCTTTTTTCTTCAGAATTATTTAAGAATATTGCAATTAGCAGTTTATCAGTACATTTGCTTTTTCTCTGAATCGTAAGGGACAGATCCCCAGCACCAGCATGTACCATTGTTCGGGCGTAGAATCCAGCATGCGACAAATGCCTGCGTTTCTCTCTGAAGTATTTTTCATTAAAAATGGCGGTGATTTTCTTCGTTGATTTAAAAGTAAATTTCGTTTTTCAGTTTTTTATGGATCGTTGCGCAGTGTGTGACTGTAGCAAGCGGATATTATCTAACAACTTACTTGCTGAATCACTCACAAGGCGAATTTTTATGGAATTTTTTCGAGTCACTACTTGGTGAGAAGCTCTCTCTGGAGGATGGCGCCGCTGCTGGGAGTAATGCAAAAGGGGAAACACCGTCTAAAGTTCGTAATTTGCCATGGAAAGGTCCGTTGATTTTTTTTTGGAAAAATTTAACTTCTTTATTTAGTGGGGTAAGCTGAATGCAACATATTTTCGGCGTTTTATGCCATCACGTGAATACATGCACCAGTGCACTTAGTATACGTTATGAGGTCTCTCTTTTCTCTAATACTTGTGTGGAATCCAAATTTGCTTCCTTTTTCTACCGAGTTATATTTTAACAAGTGTTGCGTGTGTGCGTGTATGTGTGAGTGTGTGTGTATGTGGGTGTGTGTTTGTGCGCGTACGTGTGTGCGTGTGTGTGTATAGGTATGTGTACCTTCACTGCATATTTATGTACATCCGTGCATATTTATATTTATGTGTGTTTGTGCAAAAAATTACCTGTGTAGCGCTAATCCACCATTCGTTCAGTTTGTGATCCTTTTTTTATGGTACAATTAAGTAACTGTAAAATTACGATTTTTCTCTTTTCGGATGGGAAAAATAGTACTAAGCACTGCCCTAAGTGCAGCTGGTCGAGCAGAATGGCATTGACGAACATCCGTATATTCAGAATCCTAGAATGTTAAGAAGTCCCGCATTTACTTTCGCCCATTTTGATGTGGTCACCGTGCAAACGATGCTTGCATATCGAATTAACTGGGTCATACTGAATTCTGTTGTATGTGCTGTTCTTCAAAAACGACCCTCTTGAAAAATAATTAAGCTTCAGGTTTGTATGTGCCAGAATCGGTGAATAAATCGCTTGTGGAGCTAATTGAACAGCTTATCGATAACTATGTGAATAGCTGGTACAAGTCGAAGATAAGTGATGATGATGCATTCGTCAATGAAGTCAGGTCGAATTGATTTCTGAAAAAAAATCTCAGTAAAATTCAAACAAAAAAAATAATTTTGTTTCTGAAGAAGAAACAACTGAATAAGGCGCACTTAAGGTACCAAATACGATTTGCAATTGCGATGTTCTATCAGCGGATCCAGAAGATCGACTTATCGTCACTGGTTCTTTTCCAGGCAGTACCTTTGGCAGCAATTCATTGGGAAAGAGTATCGCGCCTTTACGATTCTGTTGACAAAAAAGTACGTTTGTCTTGGATGTAATTCAAACAAAAAATTGCCTCTCTGTCAGAAATGGCGTGGTTCCTAAGTGCAGGCCTCCGACTTAATTTCTTCTAAACAGTTAAACACGATTTGCTTTTCCTTTGCTCACTGATTAATGGGATGGGCCGACGTGGAAGGGAGAGAGAGAGGGGGGGGGGG